AGTTGACTGCTGGGTGACACTAAGACTGCTGACTACCGCCACTTGACTAGTGTAAGGAGAACAGGGAAATGCACTTGTCCCTCTGCAGGGCCTGGGTCCTGAGTGAGCTAAACAGTAAACAGGAAGGGTTTCCAGCTCCCTCTTGTACCTGTTCTTGTGGGGGCGACCTGAACTCCTTCGTCTTCCGGGCTGTGAGTGCGGCCGACATGTTCAGGGCTTGCATGACTTCGTTATAGCGGAAGCGCTGGTTGTCCTGGAGCCTAGCGACAAAGTCGTCTGAAAAGGCCACGATGGCTTCTATGCGGTGTCGGACCTGGCAGTCGCAGAGGTACTGCAGGAGCAGGCACATCTAAGAAGACAATGACAAAGACACCAAGTGTAAGTCATGAATCTCTAGAGTTCTGGGACATCAAATAAAAGTCAGTGGCCGAGATGCCCAGCTGCACACTCTCCTCCTTTACGCCCAGAATCCTGGCAAATGCATGTCCCTTTGGTGGACACGCTGTCCTGGCCTCCTGCGGCTGTAGGTGCTGTGGCCAATGGGATATATGAGAAGCTTGCAGGGGTCTCCTGGGAAAGACTTTCCATTATTGACAACAGACCAGAACACCTTCTTCTCAAGCAGTGTGTTCCTGGGTCACGACATGATCACTGGAGGAAGATGAGGCAACACACCTTAGGCTGAGGGTCGCAGCAGGATACTAAGATCTGGGTTTCAAATGACAGCACTGAGTTCCACCAATCCTAGGACTGTCTACCTCCACTCTGCATGTAACTTAGATGGTTTTACAGCATCTTCACTAACTGGGTATTCTCCCACAGGAATCCAAAAGGATTTCTAAGTGCACAGTGAGCCTATCAAAATATGCCTACCAGGGAATGCTCTGCCCAAGCTTCGGAAACACTTAAGTACACCAACACCAACTGTGATTCAATACAAGGCGCTATGTGTCACTACCCACAGGAGTATGTCTGTCGATGCTGCTTTGAAGCGGACCTATCCGTCCCCCTCCCTCCGCATCCTTTGCCCACCTCATGGAAGCACCGTCCCCTGGGGTCTGGGTCCATGTGACAGCCTCCTGACTCAGTCTGCCCTGGACCACCCTGCCTTCCCCTCTCATCTGTTTTACTCACAACAGCTACACTGTGATTTTAGGATAAAAGTTTCCTGCTAAAATTCTTCACAGTTTTAATGGAACTTAGAATAAAATTCAAACTCCATCGTGTGGCTGGTTTTAGCCATCGGCCCCATTCTGTGAGAGCTGCCGTCTGCCTGTCTCACCCTCTCTCCTCAGCTCCTTCGGCTGCAGCCGCACCGCCTCTCCCTGCTTCAGAGCCTGCGGGGCCACGTGTCCTGTGCAAAGCTCCCAGGACCCTCTCCCGCTCCTGTCTACACACACTCGTGTCCGACCTCAGCTTACAGAGGCCTCCCCGAGCCTTTCTCACGGCAATCCCATTGAAGTTTCTGTATTCTACTAATCCATTCTATTCTTCCAGACCAGCAGGGGAATTAGCAATGAGACACGTGAAGAGAGATGCATCACTAAGTATGTATTTCCCCCAGGGGTGGGCTTCTGGAGGGTGGGCCCCTGTTCCTTCACCCAGCACTGTGCCTGGCTCTGCAGACAGAGAGGGAGACAGTGCACCATCGATGCCCACACCCACGGGACCTGACAGACCGGAGGCTGAAGAAAGGACCTCAGACATGTGCGCACAAAGACAGGCCATGCCTCCGGCTCCTTAGCAACACGTGCAGGAAGTGACATCCGCTGCGGGACAAGTGCCCTGAGGCTGGTGGGAATGCAGGGGGACAGGGAGGGCTACAAAATGCCTGGAGTTCAGGCATCCCAACGAAACGTGGTGAGATGCAGAAACAAGACACAGGGAACCGCTGAGGAGCCCGAGGGAGAGGGCTGGCAGACAGAAGGCCATCCCCCACGCTTCCACACATATAACACACACACACGCACAACTGCACACACATAAATACACATGTATACACACAGACACGCACAAATATACACACACAAATATATGTATACACACCTACACACAGACAAATGTACATATACACAGAAATATACATATGTACATAAAAATGTACACACATAAATATACATATATATACGTACACAACTATACGCATGCATACCAATATACACATATACACAACTGGGTATTCATAATACCCAGGGACATAACCACACCAATACACATATAGACACACACATCTATACATACAAATCTACATATACACACAAGTACATGTATACACACATACATACACACACAAACAGGCCAGACTTGCAGACACACATGGTAGACAGACGTATACTCAGCCAAGGAAACCACCTTGACAAATATACTAAATGTATCTTTTATTAACTACTCTCAATTAACTCAATTGGAAAATTCATTAAATTCAATCCAAATGTAAGAAAGTTAGATTGATGGGTCCCAAACACAACTGGACATTAATTTTCTAGACAACTATGCTATACAGGAACCCCCACAGGCCAGTTTCAGTGCCTCTCCCCTGTTCACCTGCAGCCCCCCACTCACCCCCTGCTCACCTGCAGCCCCCCACTCACCCCCTCACCTGGAGCTTCACTGGCTCAGGCAGTTTCATCTGCAGCAGCCCCTCTGCCGCATCCCCTCGTATGCCCTCGGGCCTGGCATCTTCGGTGTGGGGCTCCTTGAGTGGTGCCTGGTGCTCCTCCTCCAGGGAGGCCTCCTTGAACACCCTGGGCTCAATCAGTTGCAGGATGTGCTTCAGGTCCTCCCCTTGGAAGACACCCATTGTGAGCAGCGTGTAGAAGAGCTTGATAAGCGGCACGAAGAGGAACTCAGTGGTGCCCCCTACGGGGTCCCTCGCGCGCAGTCCACCCTCCTGCACCACCTCAGTCAGCATCTGCATGGTCTTGGCCTTGAGCGTGTCCAGTGGGAACTCGGGGCTGTACTGGTAGCAGTCGTGATTGAGGCACACAAAGCTCGGCGAGGAGAAGCGCATGCGTGGCCGCAGTGAGGTGCTGAGGCCGATGCCCGGCAGCCCGTGCTCCTTGTGCTTGTCTGGGAAGAGCGTGATGCTCTTGGTCTCCTCGGTCATGGGCACGATGAACTCGTTGTTCATCATGAGCCGCGCGGTGGCGTAGGCGCTCAGGTGGATGTCGATGAGCAGGTCGTAGTAGCCCGTGCGCAGCAGGCCGGGCATGTACTTGCTCTCGATGGCGTACAGCAGCTGTGCCTCGTCCACGTGGCTGCAGAGCGCGTGTGCCACGCGGTGGTTGCCCAGGGCACACACGGCCGAGTAGAGCCGCAGGGTGTGCGAGTGGAAGCGCAGCAGCTCCTCCTGCTCCGTCAGCTCCAGGGATGTCCACGGACCTGCGGGGGCAGGGGATGCTCAGTCACAGGGACAGGAGAGCTCATGCAAACCACACTCTCTCTCCATGACACGCAGAAAAAAGTCCGTTCCTAGGTGTTTTACACGATTTCTTCCGTAAAGAATTTTATGTTGAAAATGTTCACCCTCTTGTGCTTGCACCCCCTTCATTGTCCATACCCCCGAAGTTCTGGGCACCACTTAGATACTGGTCTCAGTCTGAACCTGGGACCCCTCCTTTCAGAACATGAGCACTCCCTGGGAAACCCCAAGTCCCCTTCCCTACTGGACTGGCTGGTTTCTGGAACCCAGGAAACGGTGCCTTCAATTGCAGAGGCTGCGCTTTGTCTCTGACCTGTGAGCACTGCCGCCTGCCAGTGAGAGGAGCTAACAGGTGATTGCTGGGACATAACCTCCCTCTAACCAACCCCCCTCCCAGACCCACACATACGCCACCACGTCTGTGCCACTCGGGAAACACACACTATAGTGACATTTTCAGTGAGGAGAGTTCCTGCTGGGAAACTGCGTTTACACAGGCTCCTCATTCAGGCCATTCTGCTTCTGCCACATATCATGACCTTTCAAAACCTCAAAAATCGAGCCAGAATATGCCCAAAGTCTTTCCTTTGACTACAGAATCCGTTTTAAAAGTCCATACTTCCTTCACATGAGCCACTCAATCTGTGTCCCCAGTGCCACCTGGAGCCCCGGACAGTGATCAGTTGGAGGGGCCCAGTGGGAGGGGGCCGGGCGCGCAGACCTGTTCTCCTCCGGGATGTGCAGGGACATGAACTGCAGGGGGTCCACGCACTGCACCAGCCAGCCCTGGCGCTCGCTGACCCGTGACACGTCCACCTTCAGAAACTGGTTGGGCATCCTGCTCCACAGGACGTGGGACAGGAACTGCACGTGGAGGCGCGGGGGACACTGAGGCACGGGGTTCCTGTGCTCGCTCTTGAAGAGTCCCGCCGAGAGAGGCATCACGTTCTAGGGGACGAAGCAGAAGAACTGTTTATGATACTCCCGGGGAACGATGACTAGCATTCTGCAGAACAGACAACAGAAGGAAGACCCACTGCGTGTCCACCGAAGCCAATACAAGAAATAGCAGAAATTGGGCTAAAGCTCCTGAAAGGAGAAAATGTTGTGAAGGAAAAGGCCTGGCCCTTCAGGGCAGGCACGTGGCTCTGCCACACCCTCGCTGGCCTCGGAGAAGGCAGGTGTGCGGAAGCGTCCCACATCCTCCAGGTTTGCTCTCCAAGCTGCTCTCGGTGCCACACGTCCTGACACAGGTCACATCCACGTGGCTCTCTCTCCCTGTCTGTTCTGTCACCCTCCTTGTCCGTAACCCACACCCTCACTCACATTGATGTTTCTCTCTCTCCCTCTCCCTTCCTCTATGAAATCAATAAAAAATATATTTTAAAAATTATTTATAGGATTAATAGCAGTACTAATTTAAGAAGTACATATTATTCCCTAACAGAACACAATCCAAATGTAATACCAAGAATGAGTCTTTCTTACCTTTATTCTTCCCAACTCAAACTGGAAAACATTGGGACTTGTGGCTTGTGCAAAAACTGCAGGAAATAATTTGGTGCTTGGCTCCACCTTAAAACCAACGAATTTAATAATATTAGCAGAGGAAGAAACAGAAAGAACACGTATTTTCTTCACAACAACTAAGGAACACTTCACAAAAGCGAACCAGAAACTTTCCTTTCTCCCACATGGATATCGTCTTTCAACAATTACTTGGAGCATTTCATTTCTTTGCTACATGAACATTTAAGGAGAGATGTACTCTTTGCTCTGAGAGGCATAAGGCACAGCTATTATTCAAGCAGAAGTAAAAATACATAATTCATTGAGTCCTGTTTTCATTTTCTTTTTTGTTGTTGTTAATCCTCACCCAAGGATATTTTTCCCATTGATTTTTACAGACAGTGGAAGGGAGGTGGGGAGAGAGAGAAACATCGATGTGAGAGAGACACATCTGTAATTTGCCTCCTGCACGCGCCCTGGCCTGGACCTGGAATAGAACCTGCAACCCAGGTGCATGCTCTTGACTGGGAATCAGACACAAGACCGTTAGGTGGGTGGGCAGATGCTGTAACCACTGACCAACACTGGCCAGGGCCTGTTTTCATTTTTTTCTCATTTGCGTTTCCATCTGACAGACTGTGCTTTCCTCTAATGGTTAACAACACTTCCCTGCGGAGAAGCAGCGCCCACAGACGGTACCTGGTAGTAGGTGCTCAGCTCCTTGCCGTTGGCCGTGAAGGTGAGCAGCCCGCTGGCGGCGTCCACCACGCAGCCGATCTCCAGCCCGTTGCTGTTGCGGACCTGCCCGGGGCTCATGCTCTCGCCCGCACACACCATGTAGCAGTTGCTGCGTTTGATGCTGAATTTCAAAAACAGTTTTATCTTTGTACAACCACAGGTGTCACAGAAGCATGTAGGTCTCGCAGACTAAACCTAGATTATGCTGCGCAGGCAACAAGCTCATGCTGTGGTGGGGGAGGTGCACGTGGGCCCGAGTCTGACCCCGAGCCTCGCTGACCGGTGGACGCTCTCGATCAGGTCACACACGCCCCTGACTGACACCTGATGGAGACGGGTCAACAAGCTGGAACCACGTAAGAACTGGCCTGCACCTTCCCTCCAAAAACTCAAACCAAACGGGATCTTTTTCTGAGGTTCAAAGAAGTTTATTTAATAATCATCCAAATTTATAATTTTCATTCTCAGAGGTATTGTGTGTGTGTGTGTGTGTGTGTAACCACTGTTCTGAGATGAGAAGCATTCCTGTTTAACACTATCAGAGTCCTCAGGCAAATTCACCTGAGCACCAGTCATTCAATACATTTACCATTTGGCTAAAAGCATGCCCCCTTACGGACACTTCCCGAGTTTCACTCTCAGCAAAACCTTCACCAGAGATGGCAAGAAAACTGTTATTTTCACTTTGTCTGCCACCAGATAGCAGATAGATTAATGAGGCCAGGGGGAAAACAGGCCAAAGGCAGTCAAAGAACAAGAAGGTGAGATGGCCCTAGCCAGTCTGGCTCAGCGGACAGGATGTCAGGTCCTGGGTTCAATTCCAGTTAAGGACAAATACCTTGGTTGCAAGCTCCCCCGCAAGCCCGGGCCCTGGTCAGGGCGTGTGCAGGAGGCAACCAATCGATGTGTTTCTCTCACATCGATGTTTCTCTCTGTCTTCCACTGTCTCCAAAAATCAATGGAAAAATATCCTCGGGTGAAGATTAAAAAATAAAAATTTTTTTTAAAAAAGGTGAGCTGGTCAGTTTCTGGATAATCAGGTCAGCTGTGCTTCTTTGCACTGTGTACGTAAGACTCAACAACCCTTCCCTCAACTATTCCCACAGCAGAGTCATCTATTAGGTGGCCCAACCCCAGCTTCCCTTATACTATCACCTTCTCTGAAAATCAAATATATCCCCCAAGAATATTCCTGAAGACAGGTGGTTTGGGGCGCCCACACTGACAAGAAGCCATTCCTCATGGGAGAGTTTTGCCAGCCCACTGCCTCAAGATCTAAGTTCTAATGTTTCAGGTGTTAAAACCTGAAGGCAAGAGAGTGAACTTCTAGTCACCAAAAATGAGGTGCGGCCATAAAATAAAAGCAAGGCATGGAGGACCAGGGGACGCATGGGCACAGAGGTAGGTGCAAATGTCAGGTCTTCTCTTGTCTACTTCCGCAAGGAACATGGCCTTCGTCACTTTTTTGAAGGTTTGGTTTGAGTTTGGTTTGTTTTACAAATGAAAAAGGATGGCACAGAAAGTGGAACTGACTTACCCAAAGCCACACAGCGAGTCAATGGCCAGGCTGAGGAAAGAACCCACTGCTCCTCAGTCGGAGTTGAAACATGCCCACCTGGTCTCCACCACTAGCCCCTCAAGTCTTCAATCGTCTCCCCCCACAAACCAGGTCCCAGGATGCGTGTCAGACCACATGCTCCCTGTCTCACCTTCCCCATCCTAATCCCTGGCACAAAGGCTGCGACTCGCAGCCCGAGTTGTTAGTCATGTGCGATGTCAGCTGAAGGAACACGACTGTTACCCGAAAGGGGATGCGCTGCTCTCACTTTATAACGGTTTTCACTTTTAAATACTCAGACTCCTCACTGGCTTGTTTGAGCAACAGAAAGGACACTGACATTAAGGTTTTGACTATATCGCTCCTATAAGTAGAAATAATACCCGGGGTATGAAATCCAAGCAAGAGAATTCCTAGGTTTATCAACATTTCCATCAGCTGTCCCTGGTAAGAAAGGGAGGAAAACCAACCTCTCGTGCACTTTCCCTTTTTCGTCTCCCAGAGTCACGGTGACGGTGCGAACTCTGTCCAAGTCGAAGCACGTGTCGTACTGGTGGAAGTCGGCCGTGACCCAGCCCACCCAGACGCTGGCCGGCTCCTGTCCAGGGAAGATCCTCACCGAGTAATAGTACTGTGAAGACAGCAAGGCAGGCATTGGCAACGTAACACGAACCAATCTGAACTGCAACACCCTTGAATTGTTGAAGGATATAGTTGTTTAAAATCACTGGGCCTAATGAAGTGTCATTGACACCAAAGACTAACACTGCAAAATAAGAAGAGCCTTAGAGCAGAGATCTGGAGTTCAACTAGAAATAATGGGCACAGAGAAGTCTCTCTCTGAGCAGACGTGGTAAATGGTGCAAGGCTCTTATACTCCCGAGTGTGCGTGCATGACTGTGGGAGGACACACACAATACGCACACCATATGTATTGTACATATAGAGGGTGTTCATGCAATACAATCATCACCCATCAGGCAGGTAAGCTTCGAATTCTGCCGGCTTACAGTGTGCTAATCGATGCTGGAGTTCTACACCTGTGAATAGGCCCGTCTTTCCTAGCACTAATCTGTCTTATTTCCACACCTTAAAATCACTTTGAAATAGCTCCAACCTAATATGTGAAAATCAATCTCAAACATGGGGGTACTCGAGGGACACTACTACCTATTTTTTCCATTTGGCATTTAGTTGTTTTGAAAACTTTAAATGGCACAGAGCAAAACTTGGCCTCTAACAAAATATAAATGATCTTCTTTTAGACATATCACAAAGATGGAAGAAATGATATGTCCTTGGAGAAATTAGGTCACAAATTCATATTTTGCCAAGAAAAAAAAATAGGCTGTTTTCCCTAAAGTAGCTCTTTTACCGCATATCCATATATTTTTCAACTTTTAATCCCCTCCTCAAATAAGAAAAACTTATTTTAAAAATAAGCTTGCTAAGTATGATGACTCAAGTGGGCTGAAATGTAAACTGGGGTGAGTGACAGCCTGACGTACCGTGGACGTCTGCATCAGGTACTCGTAGTCGTCCCGATCATCCGCAAGGACATCCTCAGTGAGCCTTGCGGAATGGCTCGTGCTGTAATCCGGCTTTGTTTTTCTAAGCAAGAATCTGAAAATATGACAGACCTGGGAGTAAGCAACAGTAAAAGTTCTGCCTCCTTCAAACATGAGCAAATAATCAGCGTAGTTCAGTGATTATCAACCGGGGCGATTTCACTCCCCCGAGGATGTCTGGCAACATCTGGAGATATTTTTGGTTGTCATAACATGGGATGGGGGCCAGGTGTGTGCCATCTGCATCTGGTGGGTGGAGACCATGTTTCATGAACAAGGCAGACTCTCACGGCAAACAGTTATCTAACCCAGAGCACGCTGAGGCTCAGAAATTCAGATTTAGTGCAAGGCAAAAGGCTAAAATGGGTTGCTTTCTTGTCCATAAAAATACTATTTAGAGAGAATACTCTTTAAGTTTCAACCAAGAAAGTAAATACAGACATTTTGAAAACTAACTCTTGGGGGGAAATACTTGCAAACCATGTATCTGCTAAAGATTAATATCCAGTGTATGTAAAGAACTCCTACAACTCAACAACAGAAAAGCAAACATGCCAATCCAAAAATGGACAAAGAATTTGAAAAGGCATTTCTCCAAAGATGATCTACAAATGACCAATAAGAATATGAAAAGATATGCACTAATTATCAGGGAAATGCAAATCAAAACTATATGAGCTATCATTTCACCCCCGTTAGGATAGCACTATGAAAAAAACAAAACAAAAAACAAAACAAACAAAAAAAACAGAAAATGACAAGGATGTGAATAAATCTGAACCCTTATATAGTGGTGGTAAGATTATAAAATGGTGTAACAGCTCTGGAAGACAATATGAAGATTTCTTAAAAACTTAAAAATAGAACTACCAGTAATCCCATTTCTGGGTATATATCCAAAACAAATGAAAGTTGGGTCTTGAAAGGGTATTTTTATATCCATGTTGACAACAGCACTATTTACCATAGCCAAAAGGCAGAATCAAGTCAAACATCCATCAATGAACGGATAAACAAAATGTGGTTTATACACACAATGGAATATTACTCAGCCTTAAAAAAGGGAAGAAGGTCTGACATGCTACAACATGGATGAACCTTGAGGACATTACGCTTAAGGAGACAAACCAGTCACACAAAGAAAAATACTGTACGATTCCACTTGTAAGAGGTACCAGATTAGTCAAATTCATAGAAACCAAAGGTAGAGTGGTAGTTACCAGCGCCAGCGGGGAGGTGGAAAGGAGACTTGTTTAATGGGTATAGGGTTTCAGTTTTGCAAGATGAAAACGTGCTGAAGATGTTTCACAACAATGTGATCACACCTAACACTACTGTTCACTCAACTGTGCTGTACGCTTAAAATTTGTAAGTGAACTGAAAAGTGGTTAAGATGGTAAATTTTCTTGTTTTTGTTTTTGTTTTTTTGTTTTTTTACCAAAATGAAAAGGCATAAAAAAGTAACTCGGGATAGAGTACATCTGTGGTAACAAATCAGGTGACAAACAGGTGCTTAACTGCCCCTATAGAACCCTTTGTGCATGCAGAAGGGCGAAGAGAAAGAAAAAACTGGCCTGGGAAATGCCTGGCCTCCACGGCAGCCCTCCCCACAGAACGAGCTCACACTGAATCACTCTGCAGAGATCAGCGACCTTTGTTTCAGACGAGAGGGCTTTTCCTGCGCGTAATCTTTGTGGTTATTAAACTCCGGTTTTGTAGCTTCTTTGTCTTTGTCCACTCGATCGGGCACCAGATGGCCATGAGCTGTCTTCATCAGAACCTCAAAATCAGAATCCACGTCGTAATCCTCCAGATCACTCTTGGGCCCGAAGAGGCCGGCACCCGGGAGCCCCCCGGCCGCCGTCCTGGAGAAGACCTCTGCGCACTCGATGGGCATGCTCAGCCGGTAGAACATGATGTCCGTGCTGCTGTTCTGGGAACTGAAGGACTTCTGAGTGACCTTTAAACACGGAGAGCTGTCCGCGGTGCCGTCTATTCTGGTCACCTAGCACACAGAGAAGCAATAGCTCAGTTCCAGCCATCACTATGGATTCAGGGGTTCTAAAGACCACGAGTTTCATGTCTTTAAAACCCCAAATTGCCGAAACCGGTTTGGCTTGGTGGATAGAGCGTCGGCCTGCGGACTGAAGGGTCCTGGGTTCGATTCCGATCAAGGGCATGTACCTGGGTTGCGGGCACATCCCCGGTAGGAGATATGCAGGAGGCAGCTGGTCGATGTTTCTCTCTCATTGATGTTTCTAACTCTCTCTATCTCTCTCCCTTCCTCTCTGTAAAAAATCAAAGAATATATTTTTTAAAAAATAAAAAAAATAAATAAAACCCCAAACGCAGCCACAAGTGGTGTGATTTTGTAAATTAGACGAGTGAGTATAGCGAGACTGTGTTGCAGATGTACCCATAGTTCTGCTTCTAACTCAGAAGCGGGTTTGGGAAATCCATGTTATAACGGCATCTCTTCAGACTGAGCCTGAGATTGCCTCTAAAAAAGAAAATTAACTATTACTCATCAGTCTAGTCAGCTACTCATAAAGTGTTTAAAATCAAGGCTGAGCTTATGCCTAATTCTATTTCTGTGTAACACACTGGGGTCACCATTTTAAGTAAGTGACAGTAATTGTCCAAGTAAAACTCACTTGTGTAAAGATACTCTAATCCTGTTTTTTAGCAATTGTCTGATATTTTAAGAAAAAGCAAACCTCAATATGTTCGTGGTTTGATGGAACCTGGAGAAACTGAGGAAGTCGCTTGCTTAGCCACATGGTAATGTCCCTGTTTGTATTAACGGCGAATGGCTCATAGCCCTCCTGTAAGCCACAAATGGTGAAATACTTCAAGGTGCTCACGTCCTTTCCAAAGTTCATCCTTCCCACCTGAGCCACCCCAAGGCTGCACACAGGTATGAATCCTGGAAGAAAGGAGAATCAACACCTTCAGTTCCATTAGTATAAGAGCCTGTTAGTACGGAATGATCACGAGTGTTGCTCCAGAAAGAGAACCGATGCTAAGTATTAGGCGTAAGGTCAGGAGGGCAGTATTCGATCTCAGCATCGTAATTCACTAACTGCGACCTCTGGATCAGTCCCTCCTCACCTTGCACTCTGTACCTGAGATGCATGCTAAGCAGCCAATCCTCCAGGATCCCTGGGCATGTGCCCTGACCAGGAATCGAACCATGACCTCCTGGTTCATAGGTCAACACTCAATCGCTGAGCCACAATGGCCAGACAAGAAACTCAATTTTTAACTTAAGTTAATATAAATTAAAATAGCCCTGTGTGGCCAGTGGCCCCCTTACTGGAAGTGTTTGCCTCACGAAGGGCTTTCATCTTTTATATCCCTGCCCAGGTCACCTCAGAGCCACAGCAGAGCTGCCTGCTCCCTGCACTGTGCATCCCGTTATGTCAAACTTCTCACTGATCAGAAATCACACAAGTGTGGACTCTCTGGTATATTGTCACCACATGAAGACAGAACAGTGTTTATTCATCTTTGTCCTCTCAGCATCCAGCAGAGGGCCTGAACGGGGAGGCTCTCATTACATTTTTATGAAATGAATGAGCAGACAGAAGCTATAAGCAGCTCAGAGGGAAATACTAAATAAAAACTTAACATTTGTGGAAAATGAGCCTCTTGCCTGCCATTTATTTTCTTACGCACGTTCAAGAAGCCACTTCTGCCTTAGCTCAGTAGTGCGAAGAAGCCTCTGCTAGAGCAATGTCAAGGGTGTCTGATCAAACAGGGTGCCCATGCGACTTCCAACGGCACCTCCTCTGCCCTCACCTTCAACCAAAGATGGGGTCACGGGCATCAGAACAAAGAGCCTCCTTGCGCCGCCCCCAACACACTTACCGTCACCAACATCAAAGTCCTTAAAAGCCAGTTCTGACCCTGAGTCATCAAGAAGGATTTCGCCGTTGAGTGTGAACATCATGGTGCGCTCCGTCATGTCCACCATGCACCCCATGACATCGCCTGCTTGCCAGGAGCGCCCGTAGTGCTCATTGCCCTGGTGCCACCGCTGGGCCTGGGGACAGAAGAGTCATTGTCACCAAGAAAGCCAGGAGAACGCACCCCCACTGCCTGTAGGACTCACAGCAGCCCTCCTCTCCCCACCCCCACCAAAAGCTGGGATCTGGGAGTCCTGAGTCCCTAATGGCAACACTATGTGCACTGACTCGAGAAAAGCCCAAATGCTATTTCATCATTTTGAGAATCTATCACTTTAAAAACCTACTCCACATACTTTCTATTCAAAAGAAAACTCTGTCTTTCACATTTTATTTTTCTCCCTACAATGAACGCTTCCCGGGACATGGGTGGTTTCTCTCTACTCCCCCAAATACAAAGAATTATGAGCAGAGACTCAAGCTGGGAATTTATCATTGAATGACATTCTAGTTTTCATCCATTTCAAAATAAAGTTCCATTCCTTGGAACAATGGCACCAATATATAACAAAATTAAATCTTAAAGCATTTCAATATACAAGGTGGGGCAAAAGTAAGTTTACAGTTGTGAGTACACACAAGAGTTTATTTTTGTATTATTATTTATTATTATATTATTTTCCATATAAACAACTGTACACCTTTGCCCCACCGTGTATAATAAAATAAAAAGTTTCAAACCAAACCTAAACGTGTTTATAAAATGTTTGCTGAAATAAAAAGCTGAAGACTGAATATAGATGCCAATATTGTTTGACATAAACAGGGGATAAGTGTGATATTTGAATCTATAGTATATTCTATTGATCTGTAGGTACAGAATTAGTGATATTAATTTGCCAGGTAAATCTTTTAACTTTACCCTAAATGTCACCTTCACTGTGATCTAATATGTAATGAGATACAGTCACCAAAGCAAAACAATAATATGATTCTTCTCATGGATAATACTTAGTTTTTAGAAAATTTATTTAATTAAATTAGGTCTCACAAGGTGTTCAACTTTCCCATCTGAAGTAAAAAAGCAGAATTCAGGGAAAATAAAGATAAGACATTTCAGATCAAAGAGGGTCAACTGCCCTAGAGGACACAGTGTTGGTTTCTAGCCTAGAAGTGCTCCCCCTCCATGCCTGCCTGAGAGCCCCCCACCCAACTCCCACACGATCGCTTATTTATTCTAATTCCCTTTTCCCCATTAAATGTCCCTCATGTAAAAAGGAATAGAAGTCCACTGAAGGAAAATCAGAGAAAACAAATAAAAGAAGAAGAGATCTATTTTATCAGCAAAAATGACTATTAGTCTATTGTGACTACGTTCATACACACAAATTTTTAATATTTTATACAGATAAAATAATATTCAAACATTTATATGATGTATAAATAAAATAAACTTCCCCACAGCCAAAGAAATGACAATGCCTAAAGATGCTGAAAATGGAAACTTTCTGTGATTATAAACCGCATTGCCTTAGGTATTCGTATAGTTATTAAAGGTGTCTACCTATCATTAATTATTGCTTGAGGATCGATTTTTTTCCCATGGAATTGCTGTGTCAAAGTGTATGCATGAGTATATGTATTTTTAACACTTTTGTTAGACATGGTGCTTCATCTTTTTGACAAGGCATTTCCTGTGTCTGTGAGTGGAGAACAATGTTTTGAAACTACAAGGGTAGGAGCTTCCCTGGGAACCATCTTCCCAACGTGTGCTCTGGAAAGGGCTGTGTCGCTGTGCTCGCTGTGCTCCCTGGGGCCTCCGGGAAAGCCAGGCCCGGCAGGGAGGACGCCTCCGACCTGTGGCTGCTGCCTGGCGCCCACTCACCTTGAAGCCGTCAAAGGCGAAGGCGTGTTCGTCGCAGCCCAGCTCCTGATCAGGCTGGCAGCCTGGCCTGCTCCAGCCAACGCGCATGTCCCCAGCAGTGACAGCCTCGAACTCAAAGTACCACCTTCCCGCCTTCACGGCGTAGGTTTTCTCAGCCCGGAAGATCCGGAACCGTTCCCCGGGGCTGCTGCACACTTCTGCTCGGGCAGCTGGGAATGTAAGGAGAGTCTGTGATCACAGGGAACACTGAAAGGGGGGCAGAAAGCACATAACTTTATAACTACACCCACAGTGATGTGCTAATGATACTCCATTCACCTCTGGTGCACATGTACTAAGTGTGTTCATCAGGACGGGCAGCCCACGAGCCAGCGAGGCGCAGAGAGCACTGGCTTCTGCACGAGGCTGGGGCGAGCTGGTGATGAGGTGATGGTGGGGGTGGTGCCTTTGCAGGAGAGAATGTCTGTCTGTGCAAAGACCTACCAGCAGTTGGTGGTTTGGTAGCAGAAGATGAGATAAATGAGAGGCATGGATAGAAAGAGCACAAGAGACTGAAACCACTGGCCATAAGAAATGAATAGACATTGGCCGGTGAGAGAGAAGAGGGAAGAAGCAGCCAGGCAATGAGGAGGAGACAGAAAGCTATAAAAAGCAGGACAGGGTCACCATCCACACACTCCGTGGCAGCATGGGTGAGGGCAAAACTCCCTCTCCCCCACATCTTCACCTTAATGTGCTGCACACACACATTGTGTTTAAGAAAGTAAAAGGGTCAAGTCTGACATCAGAATCAGTACAGTATAAAGGGGAAACATTGTTCTCCTCCCCACACGTGCATTGAGAGTGGACACAGTAGATGGAGAGAGGACACACGTGGACTGAGAGTAGGTGCACATGGACTGAGAGTGCATACACGTGGACTGATTGGGCACATATGGACTGAGTGTGTGCATGTGGATTGCCAGTGGATACACATGGACTGAGAGTGGACACACGTGGACTAAGAGTGCACGCATGTGGATTGAGAGAGCCAGGAGTGAGAAATCTCAGCCATAGAACCTGAAGCCAGGTGACCATGAGAATGTACACCAAAAGATTGAGGATTAAAAAAAAAAAAAAAGTCCATATACTTAACACATACTTATTGCCTATCCTAATGTGTTTTCCTTAAAGCAAAATATTGCTCTAATTAATATTGCCTACATGAGTGAGTATAAATAATGAAGGCTTAGAAAACACTAGATCCCACTATAATTTATTCCCTTAAACATCTAAACCCAGCTCTTCAAAGGACCGCTGGTGGGCAGGATGGGGGCAAGGTCCGAACCAGGTAGCCTCCTTAGACTCCTTAGACTTAGGAAGTAAACCACTGTGGTCTGGGCCACGCTCCCACGAGACGGTCTAGTCCTTCGGGAAAAGGTGCTCTAAACCAGCAGTCACCAGCCAGCGGACCACTGGTGGTCCGTGAGGTCCGAAAGGTTGGCGACCGCTGCTCTAAACTGCACACTGCGTACGAGATCACGCACTACAGGACTCTGTCTGTGCTCCCTTTTTCACTTATTTGGCTGCACACCCTGCCCATGACGTTGCAAGCAGAGGGGGCAGAGGGAGCCCGCAGTACCGTGGTCTTGGTCGGGCGCCTCCAGGCTGTACCCGTACCCCAGCAGCGTGCGCACCGCCTCCCGGAGGCTGTCCTTGTTGGACTTCTTGGTTCTGTCATCGAGAAGGGTGTAGGGCACGAGGCGTGGGTTTCTTCTGTTCTTGACGTCCTACAGGAAGAAAAAGGTGCGGTCATCAAAGTAATGCCAACAGCTTGAGGAAATGAGACAGGAAATACAACAACATTGAAAGAGAACAAAACGCCAAGGCCCTGAGGGTAAACGCTGCCCCTCCCATCCCCTTGGTCTCCTCGGGCTCCAGAAGTTACCGGAACAGGACCAATACAAAGAGTTCATCACATGAAGGTCTGCATCAATATAAAGCGAGACTCTCCTCGAGAAGAAAAAGTAAAAATAGCCACAGCAATAACGAAAGCCACCTGAAGGACCCTTTCAGCGTCTACCTTCTGCCATGGTCGCAGGCAATGGGCTAACGTAGAGAACATGCAATTTCCCTGCACCGTAGGCTGACAAGTCTTGGTGTTGAGAAGAGCCACATTAGCAGGTCAGGGATTCTGAGTCAAGAGACCACGTAAGGCTGCTGTCCCTTCTTAAGAGAAAACCCCGTATGTCACAAAAGGCCATTCTGGGACCTCTCGTAGCTTTAACAATAGGCAGTCAATCCCCAAGTACCTGCTGGATGCCGTAGGTCCAGCCCTGCCGGATCCGGTCCCGGGCCCACACGTTGTGAGCGTTTTCTGCCAGTCTGTCCACCATTGCTTCCTGAGACGGGGTGAGTTTGATAAAGCTCAGGTCCATCGGTGCCGGCTTGTAGCCACTTGTCAGCTGGTAACTATAGAGAGAAGCAAAACACGCATATAATGGGCCTTCCCAGGAAAGTCAAGGTTTAAACATCCCTGTAACAGTCTTTGTGTGGCCCCACCCACTTCCAAAGGGTCCATGACCACAGTGGTGACCACGGGTAACACAGCTTCAGCAAGCCCGGGTCCCTCCGCTAAAGCCCATAACTCATTAGGAGGAAGGATCACACCACCCTTATGGTTTTGTTTTTCACCAATAAACCAAATGCAACAGCTCACCTATCTCTCAAAATGGAGAACAAATTATCATTGTTTGTGTTCCTAAGAGTCCAGGCTTAATACAAATCAAAGTACTGGTTATCAATGAGAACATTCAATGGGGTTCCCAACCAAAATTCTCATTTTCAACTTAAAAATGTTTTACTAATGTCATCTTTACTCAATAAAGCTGTGTATGTATCCTTATAGACACTGGGAAAATTCTAATGCATCTACAGAGTATTCCTGCGTACATAATTCAGGAAGCCCTAGCTAAGAGGAAGACTAGGAAACCCACAGCCACCCAAGACATGAAGGCCGGGGTTCCTCAGGGACTCTTACCAGAGACTATTTCTGCACCCTGAGCTGGAGAGGAAAGGTATTAAGTGAGTATAAAGTTTTAATCTTTTGGAAGAAATATAAAATTGAAAATGTAAAATTTTCAACACATGATATGTGGGTGCTAGCACTGCCCGCCCCGCACAGACACACAACTGTCTCCTTGTCTAACCGCCAAGGCTGGTCCCCAGCTGCTCCTCTCACTTTCGACCGCATGCCCTACAACCACTGTGCCTGAGGGTGGGCACCACCCACTTTTCTAACCGCCTCTGTGCTTACAGCAGCACAGGGCAACACAGCAGCCTTTCAAGCTACAGTTTCTGACAC